TCTTTCACTCTTCTATTTTACGAAGTTTAAGAATCAACGAGGAAACTCAAGGTTAATAATTTGTTTGTGACGTAGTAATGAAAAAAAAAAGACTACTAACAGTTCTAAGATAATTTCGGTGAACCCCAAGACGTCATTTATTTTTTGCCAAGCTGACGTATTAAAAATTCGTTCACGAAGAAGTTGAAATTTTTTTATCGTGTACAACACAGTTCGTTAACAGGCAACCGATATTCCGTTTGGCGATTTTTCACCGGATTTCCGCGAGCCAGCGAGCCGACCGGGAACTTTTCTCTTCAGTGGAAAATTAGTTTGCGGGCGGTAGTAAGCCGCAAAGAACGAACTTTGAAAAACACTGCATGAATAATGGTGAATGCAATATAAATTAGGTACTATATTAGTGCATGCAGTGGAACTCGGAAGCGCAACGTGCATGCACAGATGCTTGGGGTGCGAACGTATTTGTGATAAATTCAAATCAATCCTTTGATTGATGGTCCCCAGCCTTTGGTCCTTCCTAAACTTATTCAACCATTCTTCCGAACGATTTCAATTCAGGTCGAGTTTCAAACACTTTCTATACGCATACAGTTTAGCGAATTAACCACTGAACATCTCGTAAAATATTAGTATTAATTCCGTTTGATGCTAGTCTTCGTAAAGTGAATACACTTCTATGTAAATCTTACTGCACGCTAATTTTAAAGAAACTAACATACACATTTACAGTTGATCAATAAGCTTTTAATCTTTCTTGTAGCTTCTCGCATATTCTCTGTACATACATTACTACATCTTTCAAATGATTTTTGACAATATTATTAAACTCTTTTCGTGAAACCGACACAATACTCCTTTTGTTCGTCATCCTTTTCAATCGAACGAATGGGGCAAAATAAACAAGCGATCGAAAACGATCGTGGATGGGATTTTGTATATTGTAGTCCGCATTGTCGGCTACAAGTACGTTGATTTAAAAAAAGGAAAAGCCTACCGTAAAAGATCGAAATATGTCAATCGTTAACCGATAAACGGATCATTCCGAACAATGAAATTTTGATTTGTTCATTCGTCGCGCGAGTATCGATTATACGTCGGACTTCTGGCGAGAATAATCGGACCGGACCTTTCTCTCTTTCACTCGGTATATTATCCGTGAATTCAAGCCCGTTTTGTTTTCCTCCTTTTTTCTCGTCCTCGTCGCATCGGTGCCGGGGCCGAATGAAATTAAAAAATGAACGAGGAACAAGAGGAGTCCATAGAAATCGATCGGCTGCCGGAATTGATCTGCGATTCGAATGAGAGCGGGCCGGCTGCGTGCATTATATATTTGCCGAGATTTTATTTTCCGACAGCTTCGCGCGGGAGTAACTTTAAACACCGATAGAGCCGCGTCGTTCATTTTTAAATGCAAAGCAAACATTTCCTGTTCGTTGATTCTGCTTCCGTTGAACGAAATGATTCGTTTATATTTAACGATTTTCATTTTCTCTCTCTCCATTCACCGTTGAATGTTTTTCTGCTGTAATTTCTAGCAACGACCATGTATTTCTATGAAATTATACGCTGCGATACGTCTGAGAAAAATTTAGAAAATGCTTGGAACAAGAATAGAAAAACCGTAGAATTTCATGAAATCTTTGTGATTATTTGTCTGGCAGTGAACACGTTAATAATTGGTAGCCTTCGGTCGACAACGCGACGTTTGTGTCTATTTCCATACGGCTGCTAAGAGACTTCAGTTAAATTATTAATACTCGACGACTAATTGATGTGTCGAGTCTTTTTATTTAAAAAATTATACATCGCATCTAACAACACCAATGAATACGAATAAAAGTCATACATCCGAAGTATAATTAAAATTCAATTGCAAAGACTATAATTATAAACGTGCCTATACGAACTGATAAATTACAGTCGGTCATATATTCGAAATAGATGAATAAATCCGTTCAATTAGAACGAAATTAAACGAAAACTAGCAGCCACAGGAAGTCGTCGCAAACGTCCACTTTCCGTGGTTGTAAGGAACACAGGCTCGGGGTACTGTGCAGTGATTAAGTGGTTTCCTCGTCGATGAACCGGGACGACAGGCACGATATGCTCGAGGAGGCTGATAAAAATGGTCGCTGGGCAAAAAATGCGGCGAGCAGAGACGAGCTGATGATGAACGGGAAAGAACGAGCAATACTTTGCAGATATGGGGTTCGAAAGGGCAGGGGATTTTTGGTTGCTGGTGGTTTTGTTTTTGCTGCCTGAGGTGACTTACCCCTGGACAGTGTCATGCCTAGAGTACGGAATCGCAAGGTAATTGTTGATGTTTCTCCTTACTCTTTACTTGGCCCGACTTGCATGCTGTCCTATCGGTAGCGGCACAACACACAAGACATTTGTATACATACAGATATATAAATATCAAATAAATAGGCATTTTAAATATTAAGGTGGTGTCGCAGCTGCGGGGGATTCGTGTGGACTTCTAGAACAATTACCCATCGCACACGCATACATTTCTCTTTCCTGTTACGTTTTTCTCTATTTTCCGGATCATTTTCTTGGTACTCGACTCGGCGCACGGGATTTTGTAAACGAATTATTTTCACGTGGATACTTTTCAATAATCAGAAAGAATATATGCTTTTTCTCGTTATTTGAACAATGACAGGAATTTTTGGGTTCCAATATTCTCTCGACATAGTCGCGCTGCTTGTGGCCAACGACGTGATTATGAAGAGCAATGGACGCGATTCCGTGCTTCATTGGTTTCTTATTATCCATTTCTATTTGCACGGTGTATTAGGGAATTACGAGGCCGGCGGAGCGTAATTATAACGAGGGAATATTGTTCTTCTTTTAACCGAAGCTTCATTTATTTTCGAAATGTTCAGTCGGAATTTGATTTAAAAGAATTTTTATAAGAATTGTGTTTTTGTGTATGACGACACGCTCGTGAAATATTTGTCTTCCGTCGAATATTTTTAAGCTACTCATCATTTGAAATTTTAATACTCGTATAATTACGTGTAATTATATTTGTATTAAAATACAGAAATTATGCGTCAAACACAAGATATAATTTAACGACGCTCTGACGTGGCATTTGAAATATAAAAAAGATTAAATCAGACGTGTGTATAATTCGATAATTTGCATTTGTGCACGACAAACAAAGGTTTTTACATAAGATCGCTTGGTAAATCACGGATCTTAAGGCATCAATAAATTAGCAATAACAAAAAACTCATCAGAGCGATGCATGTAGCTTCAATTAAATCGCACAATTTAAGAATTCCTGTCGGCCGATATTGATCTTCGTGTAGATAGCAGCACGAATTAACCCTCTGGGTACACATTTATTTGAAAATTTTTTGATTATTCATTATATATACTCCTATATAATATTGAAATAACTTTAGGCAGTTAGTATTACAAAATACTCTTAAAAGAAATAAACTCTGGTTATTATAAATAGCAAATTATTAATAATTTTCATCTAATTTTTCACGAGAAGATTCACTATCACTGCTTGATAAGCATCTTGTACGTCTTTTACGTCTTGGAATAATTTCACTATCGTTATCACTTTCCAGTTCGATATATTCTTCATTATTTTCTTTTTGAAATTCCCCTTTATCGCTTAAAGGATCATTAAAAAAATCTTCATCGGATTGTTCAAGATAACTACTTCAAATAAAACTGTCGCTATCATTTTGATAAAATATATTCTCTGTTTCTGCCATTATGGGGTTGTGAGTTCTAAACAAGGTTCACAAAAATACTGAAATTATTTGTTCTGTTGCAACATTACTTTGAAATAAACCAGAATGAACTAGTTAAATCTCGTCTCAGTTTCAACGACGTATCAGAACGGCATGTGCGACTATGCCCAAACAAATGCATGACGTTCTGATACGTCAAATGTAGCCAAAGGGTTAAACAAAGAAAGAAGCGATAAAAATTAACGGCGAGAACGATAAACTACGAAGTGTACTTTCAAAGAAATTAATGGAAACATTGACGTCTAACACAATCAGATAATCCTCTTATACACTGAATAATATATCCATACACAAATAAATAAAAAAATTTAACATTATCACTGCGTAACGTGACTATACATTTCTGCATAGGCGATCGATTCTCCTAGTCAGTTCATAAAGTGTGAAACCTCGCTGAAAAAGAGAATTACGATGATTGTCGAATTAATCCGTCGCTTATGTTACATTTATTAATCGACTGCGTCGATCATTCAAGTTTCAGTTGCTCGTACGCGATTAAGAACACGAGAATCCGCCGAAAAGGAAAGAGGATCACGTGGCCGGGACAAATATAATGTGAAACATATTGAACAATTAAGTACTCACCTGCGAAGCACCAGCGTCCGGTCGCGCGGGCGAAAATGAGTAGGAAAACGACGAGAAGCAGCACCAGGGCGCCGACCACGATTCCGATGATAGAACCAGCATCTAAATCAACGCCTGAAATTCCGTAAGAGGACATTTAAAGATTTTCCAGCGCATTTATTCCCTGTTGAATTTTCCATACAATGCTAATATGTCACTGAATCACGAGACCTGCGATCGCGGTTCCATTACAAAAGAAAGGAAAAGAAATTCTCCCGAAATTCTTCGTGTACGCGGGAACTTCGTTCTATCGGAGATATCCGGAGTTATCGATATTCCGCGTTACGAATTACACAAAACGGACTCGTGACATACACTGAAATATTATGTAAAATTATGTCGGATATCATGCGCCCGATAACTGAACACGAATGAACGTGATGCTTTAGCGATCGTTGGACAGTACGTAAGCCAGCTTAAAAAGAGCGGAACTGTTTGAAAATTTCAGAAAGTCGAGCTTCCTTTTGCGCACTTTTAGCGGTCCGATGTTTCAAAAATATTCCCGAGCGAGTGTGACGTGGAATTTGAAGAGTTGACGGAGTATCAATGCTTCGTACGAAACGACTGTTCCGCGACTCGATTCAAGCTTTAAAGGGGCGTAACCATTTAAGAATCTCAAAATGCCGATTTTCTGACACGTATGCGTGTAGACCGGTATTTTATGAACACTAACAAATTCGTTGAAATTTTAGGAATAATTCTATTATAATAATATACTATAATTTAATATTAATACAGCTGCAAAACAATGAATTTTAATCTAGCCGCTGTGACTAACCAGTTAACCTTGTCAACAAACCCGAAAATCTTTTCGCGGTAACGTTTATGTCCCTTTAAGCTTTAACACTTTCCAATAACGCTTTTTCAACTTTCTTTTCAATATTGCACAACCGTCGAGTGAAATGTTTAAACAGGATTGCAAGCGTGAACATTTTGCCGCGGCGAATAAAAAAAAAATATATATATAGTGGAAACGAGTCCAACAGGCAATCAAAAGCTTGTTTTGCGATCGGCGCGCGATTGAAAGTCGGTCGAGCTAATATTTATGCAAAAAACTGTGCGTAAAAAAATCTGCGCCGCTGAACTGCGTGTGTCTGTGTGCGCGTGTAGGTATGTAAGTACCGACGAGTGCACATGTGTATTTCAGTAACGGCGAAAGCGTTAATTCATAGAGAAGCAATCGAACAGAAATCTATTCGCGTTTCGATCGAAAAATATGGGTCTACCATTCGCGGTTCCAGTGATATGAATAAAAATGTAACATTACACACATGTACATATAAGTGTACATATATACATATACACGCGTGTGCCGGGGCGTAGAGTTCTATTCACGCGAATTTTCCGGCTCTATTGAAAATCTCGATCCCAGCGCAGCACTGTACCCACGCGGATCAGGCGAACCTAAAAGCGATGGGAAAACCCGCGCAGTTTTATGCTCGCCACTGAGAACGACACAATCACGGAGCACTGTAAAAATTTATTTGAAAAAAGCCAATAGTGCAAATAGTCCGAGGTAAATATTACGTACCATCCCGTTTGTATTTATAATCTATACATCGACCACTTCTCTGAACGAGTGAAAGGTAACAAAACATCAAAGTTTAAGTACGAAGTTTCAACTGAAGTTTAAAAAGCAATCATTGCTTTTGAATTAAATGTTTTGTAGATAGCGTGGCAAATAGTCGATACGACTCGTTAGGATGATTTCGAATAGAGCAATAATGTAAGAATATAATTTAGGATGTTATATTAAAGAATATAATGTAACAGTTATGGGGATAATCAATATAATTATTTTTATACTGTTCTTTTGTTATGAATACTGAATTTTTGCCCATCCAATAAATCATGAAGCATAAGATAGCTTTAATGAATATAGGTACCAAAAATTATGGAGAAAATAATTCAAAATATTTCCATCGACAATTATTACGGTTGGAACTCGACGCCATGGCAGCCACGTCCACTACTTACGTATAATAATTTGAAAGAATGACATTACCTAGTGCGTGCATGTGTTCGGAGAGCTTACCATAGATGTGACTGAACGCCCCTGTGTGAGTGCATGCGGTGAAGGATCGATATCGTTAGACACACATAAATACATATAGAAAAAAGGGAGAAGGCATATAGAGAAAAGAAAAATAGAGACAGAGCACAGAGAAAATAATCTAATTCGTATTTTCGGCGTGACCGAAAGGTGTAATGATTGCTGACAGTACGTGAAGGTGACAACGAACGTGACGTAGATCGATAGACAGCGAGTGAGTATGCTCGGCTGGACGAGACGAGAAGTGACAAATATATGAAGTGCGTGAGCTAACAGCATGATCGACAGCTACCAGTGATTTTCGAACGTTTTTCACTGCAACCCTCCCATCTTGTGACATTAAATAATAGCCGGTGATTAAATAATAGGTTTGAGTAATGACTCGCCGTTTAAATTCTATTCCACCCTTCAAACGCACCAACTGGATCTTTGAACAGATTTAAAACATGGGACACCATTTTCTTTCATCTTTTAATGGCAGCGAAAATGAGAAAAAAATTGAGAAAGAATGTATTTTAATAATATTTGAGTAATATTTTAAACAAGGATTAAAATCACAAGAATAATTCGATTTCAGTATCTTTAGAATTAAAATAGTGTTATCTGAAGGTTAAATGAAGAGAATACCCTTTAAATAAAATATTATTTTTAAAACCTATCGAAGTCAAATGTGTCATTTTTGAAGTATAATAATATTATCACCCAGTATTGACTCGATAATGGCACTTCACATTAAAAAACTTCCATTCGTAAGAAATTATTTCTAGTGAGAACCGTTAAAAATATTGTAATTCTTGTTTTACGAAGATTCGAAAACAGTGTTTGCTCGACTGCATTTTACTGCGTAATAGAAATTATGTCGTGTTCCGTATACTACACTGTGCAAAGTGTGAGTAAATGATTGTGTGGAGAATTTTCAACTGTGCGCACATCGATAGTTTTACCTGCGGGTTCTGTGGAAGTTGACAAAACGATAGTGTATTCTTTAGTTCCTTCGTCGTTGCGGGCTTCCAGGATGTACTCCTTCTCCGTGTCGGATTTCTGGACGCTGTCTATGGTGAGGATCACGCTCCACGCTCCTTTTCCCTATAATATCACGTTGAAACATTTGAATAATTATATTTATGTCTCTAATACAATGATTCTTTAAGAAGAAGTAATAAAAAGATGCAAGCACCTATTTTGTAAAAAAAAAATATAGTTTTTAATATCGAAAGTTGACAGTCAGTGGTTATTAACTTCTAACACTGATTATTCCTGTAAATGGTGGTGTCTATTTCAACCGATTTCAGCAATGTGATTTGAAATGATGCACACAATTGTTCGCAGTTGATCCTATATTTAGTCTATAGCCTGAATTTCGTTAGAAACAAGGAAGCCTGGAATATTGTAGAAAATTCGATTCTCCTTTTGTTTCTTCATCAACGCCACAATGCAAGTGATATACATGTATGCAGATGTATCATTCGTTGTAAACGAAACACTATATTCTTTTAAATAAATTGATTTCATTGAACACTCCATGTTCAAAATTGTCAAAGTAACGTATTCGAAAAATATCTGCGCTGCCAGAATTTCTATTTTTTCTCATAGATCGTGTCCTTCGGGAGAGGAATATTTCGTGTTGAATAGTAAAACGTTTGAACATTTCAATAACATACAATATTGGAATTTTAGTAGTAAATTTCATCAAAACTATTCGAAATTTGATCTCCGTTCAATTAGTTTCCCGATAGGTTTCATTAAACTCATCGTCTCGTTCTTTCTTGAAAATAATTTAAAAAGTAATTCGAATGTCCAGTCTAATTGACACACCTTTTACGCGCAGCTTTTGCAGCAAACAAATTAAATAATCGTCCACACAGAAAATTCACCGTTCACGCGTCGAGCGGTGAAAACCTTCAATATCGCCATTTTATAAAGCAGGTTCACGTAAACGGACTTTGATATTCTCCGCTGTTCCCTGGAGGTAAACCGAAGAAAACAAAAATCGTTCCCGATCAGTGTGTTTCCATGGCGTTCACCCGCAAACGTTTGAAAATATCAACAGCGTTTTCCGCGGGGTGAGACAAAATGGCCGGGAAGAAAAATGGTCGACGTGCCGCGCGCGCGGTACGGCGGCCCCGAACGCCCTCGTACAAAAGACACGCAACTGTTTCGATGACCGTAATTGCGTTTTCATTGAAAACTGGTTCGTGTTCGCGATTTTCAGTCAGCGACCGAAGCTCGCTGCGAGGCTATTCACGTCGGGTACGAATAGAAGCTCCGGGTTGAATCATCCAGACCTCCGCTGTTAAGCCAAGCGGTCCGGCAAAGGAACAAAGAGCGAATTTTTAACTGACATTGCTACGTAACCAGAAACGTTCCGATTTTTATCTTAAACTTCAACGTTTTAACTGCAGCATTGGTAAATGGGTGACATGATTCTTTTGTATAAAAAGATCGTTTTTCATGGTTTACGCGAATCATTCAGAGATCTAATTTCGTGTTTTGAATATTTTCAAATCTCAGTGTGGAAACTTTTTAATTGTCCTCCGTGCATGTAATTTCAATGAATTTTTCTACTGTTTACGACACGAATTTTGGAAGGATTTGTCGAGTGAAAAGTACAGTGAACATTGGATAATTGCAATATCGAGGATCTTTTCATAATTACAACATTATCATCCCCGCCATCTCCCCACCAGATTCCTTTTAACACACCATAGCACTCAATGCGGTTGAATGGTGTGACATGATCCGACTACTGTCGAACTCGATGATTTCAACGTATCTTTCTTTTTTAAACGCAGCCCTTTTCTATATCCGAAACTTCAATCGCTTACTATACAAACAAGTACGATAATTCTATCGTGTTTGGTGTCATTTAAATCAAAAAACCATAAGAAACATAATGATGGAAGTATCATCCGTCAAAAGTAAAAAATAAAGAAGTTAGAATTTTGAGTTAAAGGTCGTAAGCTCATCGCAAACCTCTAATGTTGCCGAGCACTTCGACTCTCAGTCTCTTTTCTCTACGTTCGCATTGTCTTTTTCTACGTTCTACATGTCCTAAAATACTTGTTGCTTTGGGTGGATTCGACTCTACATGATTGCAACCTTCCGGTCCCGTTGAGTGTTGCAATTATCCAATGTTCATTGTATTATTTTCTAACAGAAAATTGAGATTTGTGAGATGCTGAGAAAGTGAATGTAGTAATTATTCGAAAATAATAGAAAGAATGTTAGCAAGCATTCCGTGAACGCTACGATTTGCAGGTTAATTGCAGCTACTGAAACAATTGCCATCGACGGAATCGATAGTGCTCGGTATCCGAATTTGTTTCTTGGAACGATTTACTTGCAGAAAAGACACGGATAGTCGAGTTATTCCGTGCGATTGCCCTGGCCGATTTGTAGCGTCTGAGTTCAACGAAATTTCATTAAGATCCTTTGATTAGCGGGAAACTTTCAAGTCACGCAGATGCTTAAAAAAATGCTAAGTGCACACCAGGCGAATGATTGCACCGGAATGCGAGACCATTGTCCCAATACCGTCGTTTCCATGCCCGTTCGCTCTTCTGGACTGCTCAGAATTCGCTCGCTTTCCAAGAGAAATTCGTACGTATCGATGTTTTCGGTGTTTTATTTTCCTTCCTTTCCCGATGAGACCGACCCGCGTCCGTCGGATTTCATTCATTGCCCACGCGTCTGGCGCAAGTTTGTTCCCGGCCGTTTATCGCGCTTTGTCTTTCACTTCGCGGCAATCATTCGTAGATTTAGAATTTCAACTACGTTGCGTAAGTATATATTTTCCAATATTCCGTTGTTGCGTTAAGTTGGTTTACCGAATATCGAAAATCGTTAACGCTCCGATTTCTTTCGTTAATACGGGAAGTCAACTGCATCGTGTATTCAACGTTTGCAACCGGAAATTTGACGTTACTCCGTATTTGAGGGGAACGAATGGGCCGATCGATGCTGCGTTTTATTGATAAGACGTATTAGACTTTCCAAGTGGTGGACAATTTAATTCGCGAACGAAACGTTCCCTGTGATACCTGCTCCACAGATTCGGGGCATTTTATGTTGCGGAATTTTCTGGGTTACCTTGCGACTATTGTAATTTAAATATGTTTGACACAATCGCAATGAAAATAAGACTATATGTACTAATTATTTGCCATGTAAACTATTGACTTTTTCTATTAATCCTTTAAGGACGATTCGTGGTTACTTTCAATTGTTTCAAATTCTTCATTCTTCGTTACAAATATAACTTAATAATAACTTGGGCGTTTCGATATATTTTGCAGCTAACTTTACTTCTGAAAAGTAGAAAAAGAATTTTATAAAGTATAAATGACAATTAAATAGTAAAAAAAAATGAAGGTGGTGGGAATGGTGTCAGTCGGTGCTCTGTTATCAACGTAGTTCCTGAAGGATTAAATAGCGATTATTGGGCGTAGTAGTGTTCGCGGGAAATTGTTCGATCCATAGGATACACGAGGGATGGTGAAGAATTTTATGAATTTACCAAATCGACGGCGGTCGAGGTTTCGAGCCGGTTGCTTTCATCGGGACGACCCTCGTCGATCTTTTCATGGTTCACTCGCCATAAGAAGTGAGGCCTTGGGTTCGCGTAAATGGTTACGTTCACAATCCCCTGACGTCCAATCACATATCCGAAACGCTCGATGGTCGGCTGCGGCTGCGGAGGATCTGTAAAATGTTATTCGTTTTTAGCGGTCGTGTTTCCCTGAAAATTGCACGACGATCGTCGCCCCGAATATGGCTGAAAGTATATCTTTACAAGGACTTGAGATGAAAATAAAAATTTCAAAAAGAATGTTGCGCTTCACATTATTATTAATATATTTGAAGTTGTATACGATTTTCAACGATAATGTAAAGCTTTAATACATTAACAATAATATTTGTTCTTCCGACATCCAGAAAATCATTATGATACAATAACATTAATTAACAGCTTTTAACGTAAGTACCAAAAAGATCATAGAGCAAAGTATTAAAAACCTTTCTGTGATTGTATTCATCGTATTCTATTGAGTCATTGTAGAATTATTCATAAAAAGCTATAGCAACTTTTAGAGGATTTTATATTTCTCTGGCTTTTTAATATTCTCATTATAAATATTTAACTTTTCCTACTCACAGTATACTTGCAACTGCAGAGTTCTCTCCTTAGGCTGGTTAAGTGCGATGTGAGTAGCGACGCATCGGAGAGTCTTGCCGTTGTCAGTCCAATCCAAACTGCGCGATGCGTTTTGCACTGCTAACGAGTTGTCGTTCACGTTTGAATCGTAGATCGTTGGCCTTTCCTCGTTACCAATCTGTTCGTCGTCTGATTATTCGAGAAAAAGAAGGAAAAAGAAGTAAATTATAAGGGCATAAATATATACACAGTATTCGGCAACACACGGGAAAAAAGTTAAAAGATTCTTTGTGATGATATAAAGCAAATCCAGAGACATTTTCAATCGTTAATAACTTGAGCACGGATACGAAATTGCACTGTTTCCACTCTAGATTTTCGTTTTATATCATCGTTGAGAATCATCACTTAAATTTTCTACCACCTGTTGCCGGACACCCTCTAGACAATAATGTACAAATATAAACGAAATATAATTACCAAGGAATAATGAAACGTTGGCTGCTGGCCTTCCGCCTGGGGCACTACAACTTACTTCCAGTTTCTCACCCTTTCTGTAGATCGTTCTACCGTAGTGTCCAGGATTCATGCTGAGTTCGGGATCGTTCGGTGCTTCTGGAAATTGAATTCGATTTATCGTCGTGTATCTATGATTCAACTTGACAAAATATGAAACTATTTAAACGATTAAAAGTTGTTATAATCGCAAACTCTAAATGTAATAACGGAAAGAGGTTTGTCTTATTTCGATGTTACAATGTGGCCTTTAAAATGGCCACGGTCTGTTGTTAAGTGTTTCTTTTTTAAATAATAAAAATTTTACTGTTACAATGTACATATTTTTTTTAGAATAACAAAATTTTTGTGAAATGTGAAAATACGTTTTTCCAATTTTACATCGCATTTATTGCAGCACAAAGATATTCAGGACACATATTAAGAATTCTAGAAAAAAACTGTTCCTCCCTTATAAAGCTGTACGTTTATTTTCCCGACTGGATCGAATGTGCAAATTTCTATTCAGATCTGCTTGGAAACACCCTCAGCCCCAGATCGTGCAACGTTTTCGTCATTTATCTCAATCGACTTTGCTCTCTTATTTCTCCTACCGTAAGTAATTGTCTTAACAAAGATTAATTAGCTCTCGAATTCCTTAACGAGGCCTCACGGAATATTTCTTCCCCAACAGTGGAATACTTCCTCGCTCGCAATAGTATCCCCGAGAACCTTTTAAACCTTTACCTATAGCTACAATGCAAACATCCCTTAAATACACTTTTGTCTATCTTAATGAGTTCTCAACGTAGATACATTACATTTCTACATTAATGCAAAACAATTACATTATTACACACGTCCACCCAGCGACAAACTAAGTGTACCAAATTATTTTTCCCTTGAAACAGTAAAAAAATTGTATTTGAGACATTTTCTAATGCTAGACCTACTAAATAAACCAAATTAACCCATCTCTCAATGCTTCTTTCACGATTATTAAAAAGATAACAGCTTCTCTGAGAAATTATTCAAGAAATTACTTTAGCAATATGCAAACTGAATTATAAATCAATTAAAATCTCAATAGATGCACTCTGACAGTTCTTACAGAAAAATTGGAAAAGTCAATTCGACTCTACAATAGTTCTACTGTCAAATAATTAATAGTTCCTAGGATAATTGCATTTATAGATTGAAACGGGACAGCCTGTGCAATTCGAGAATTAAATGGCACTTACTGGCAACGATGATCCTCACGGACGCCTGTGTCTCCTGTCGGATGTCGTTGGTAGTCAGAGTGCACTTGAATAAGCCGTCGTGGCTCTCCTTGATCTTCTCGATGCGAACCCCGCATTGGCCCATCTCGGTGCCGTCGCCGTAGTATCCGATACCGTCTTCCGGCAGTTGCCCCGTGGACAGCACCATGCCACCCGCCTCGCCAGGTATCTCGACACGGCACACCTTCAAAGGTTTACTGACTCTGCACAAAATCTGTAGACTCTCGCCGAGTCGCACCGCGACCTGGTTTTTTGGCTCGATGTCCACGGCCATATTTGATTTCGATGCTGAAACAATTCGATCGAGACACTGGATTAATTAAAATCGAACTTCATTGAACGATTTATAATTAACGAGGAGCTAGGATGATCGTGAGTTATATTAAGTTCAATTAAATCATTATAATTTAGTTAATTATCCGTTTTTGATATTTGTGATATTTTTATTTTAATATTTGTATAATTATTATTTATAGTAAGAATTTTAGTTCTTCGGGTACTCTCGGTCATGCTGGAGCCTATTGGAAATGAAAATGTTTTTGTGTTGTATGGCATTTTTCAAGATAGCTTCTGAGAAGTTAAGTTTTAAAGAGTGGTTTCAGCCTTCGAATTTGAATTCGTTCCGTGAACTTATAAAGTTTCATTAACATTAGAGAGGGACAGCAACGTTCCTTTCAGTGTTACAGATTCAGAGGAGATGTTCACTTTCATGGACGAAGGAAAAATGCGATTCCCCAGCAACCGTCTCGCGTTTTATCGCGAGCGAACGCGAGATAATTTTTCATTGAGAGTTAATCCCGCTTTGTGGGAGGTTAAATTAAATTACCAGACGGACGGGGAACTTCCATAATTTTTCATAATTCTCGACTTTCTTGTCGCGGGCTTAGCGAGACGCCGCTTCCGCGGACACGTTTAAATACGCGTTTTTCATAATTTCGTAAACTATAACGAGCACGCGTTTACACTATAACATGCTTCTAAATGTAAAGTTGTAAGTCGGATATATTACACGTACTACCCAAATTCTTCTAACGGTGTAATAAATATTAAAACGTAATTTTGGTTAATTATATTTTTATTCGCGTAAAATATGTCGCGTTATATTACTATAGCTATGAAAAACAGCTCGAGATTAATTTTCTGAAAAACCAAAATGAAACTTTTATTGTGAATAAAATACAGATTTACTTTGACGGTGAAACATAATTTACAGGAAAATTGTGCTTGAAAAAATCTGACGCTATATTTTAAAACAATGGATTATTATACAAAGAAACATAGTAAGTTTACATTTTACATTGTAAACATTGCTAAATTGGAAAACTTACGATCACAGGAGTGAACATTAAAAAACTATTAATATTCTTGCATCTCGGAGGTGAATTTCTAAAGTATTATTTACGCGAATTAAAACTTAATAGTTGGAACTAATAAACGCTCGTTTCGGAAAGCTACTGAAATTGCTCTAGTCAAATATCTCTAGGATTGTGAGAAAGGTAAGTTTTAATCGACAGTCTCTAAAAGACTCGTCTAAACGCGGAGAATGGTCTCGTGGGTGGGGAAGATCGAAAAACGATTTTGCGGGGGAGGTGGCGAGCGAAGGAGCTTCCTCGCGCGTGCAAGATTTATGAGACAAAAAGAAAAGTTGATTAAATCCCTATCCCCCTTCATCGCTGTCGTCCCGTTCCTGTATTTTCCTTGTTCCGACACGGACCGTGAAAGTCAACCAAGTAACTTTCCCCTACTCTTTGTCTTCCGTATCGCGCTTTCCACCCCCTTGCCTTTCCTTCCTCCTCAAGAACATCGTTGGTAATTATTGAGCTAACTAGAAAGTCTTGACGCTTTTCTTTCCAATGTGGTATGGAAAACTTATTGATTAGAAATATAATTTCGGATAAATGCAGTAAGGTTGTGAAGTAAAAGTTTGTTTATATCATTTATTTGTTATTTTCAATCGAAAATATCAATGTTCTTAAATAAAAGTTGTAATAAATAATATATGAACATTGAAGTGTTAGTATTCAATATTTGAAAACGAAAAGACAGTAAAGAAGAAACTATCTACGTAAGTTTCCAATAAATTATAATATTTTTAAGTAAATTTGGAAATTCTGCAATATATCAGCTGGTTTGGAATATTCTTTATATTTATTCTCTAACGTTTTTCGGCAACACTTTCTTTGTTTAATTCTTCAAGCACGCCTTAAGGTATTAGTTTCATTTATTTCTAATATCTTGAGCAACCAGTGTCATTAATTACCGAACAATATTATCGAAAAATTAATCGTCGTTTAATCGCATCCCCTGCTTAATTCGTGCCCCTTCACCCGCAGCCGAAACTCGAAACCAGCAAAAGGAGAGAAAAAAAGGGGGGAACTCGTAGGAATTTCCTTTCGCCGTCCACCACTCAGCTGCCGCTTTTCCGAAACTTTCTGTAATCGTGATGGTGTGCAATGGATAACGAGAACTAGCGGCCGGCGCGCAGTCTGCTTGTACTGTAAATGAACAAAAGTTTCCGCGCAAAAAGCTTTGCAAGTATCGACCAATCCTCGGCGCACGGGTTTCAGGGAAAGGTGAGAATGTATACCGGCATTTTCCATTAATAACTGTATTGTCAAACCGGCTGTCGGCTTACTCGTGCGCACAGGATACGTTACGAAAGCGTGTTACACTGTTCAGCCAACAATCCAAACTGCCTTAAGGGTAGCGGTAACTCATGGTTTCAAAGACTCATTAGTGCAGTCCTTTGTTTTGAAATATTAAAGTATATTAGGTGTCTCGATTATAGTAACACGGTCTAGGAGGGACGGTTTTCTTAGGAAAAGATGGTGCAAAATTACAGAATGAAATATTTAGAAGTCACATGATACATTTGTTAAATTTCCATACTCCTTTACATTTCTTTATATTTTCTTAAACTTTTAATGATTTTTTACATTTTCTCACATTTTTCAATATCTCTACATTTTTCTATATTTTGCAACGCCTTTATCATATTTTCTTGTATTACTTTACATCTCTTTCCATTTGTTCAAACATTTGAAGAATACAATTCCTTTATATTTCCTTGAAGAGTTCCAAGGCACATCAGAACTCTGGACTCTCTGAGAGGGTCCTAAAGGACTCCAAGGATATTAAGGACTTATATAGAATACTGATTTTAGAAGCCACTGAAGGTACCTAGAGCACATGAAGCACTCGAAAGTTTCTAGCCTTCCTGAGAGAGTCCTAGGACACTCCAGGGTCTCTAGGACTCCATAGACTTCCTAGAAGATTCCAAAGAGGATCCAATCCACCGAAGATCCTTACAGGGTAATAAAAAATTGTTACAGTAAAGAATACGTAACGCGATTTAACACTAAAAATGAGAACGATATTGATACAGTTTTCAGTTAATAAAATTATCCACTGAAAATTGTACAATAGGATTCATGCAACGTGACGAAGTAAAGAGAGGTAGAGAGAGTGAGGAAAAGAGCAGAATCCACTGGCTTCCAATGTGGGTTAGCTCGCGGCTTCACGCTTTTAACAACGCTATCCGTTATCTCGAGAAATGTACGGGCTCGAAGTTTCCTGGTATTTTAATACCGCTCGATAATTAATTATTCGCCGGTAGTCCGACCGCGCGGAGAATGTTCGAAAATAGCTGAAAGTAATCCTATAATGACCGGATATAAGGGCAGACTTTCACCACGTTTTTTTTCGCTCTCCGCGTTCACCTCTTTCAATTAAAAGCTTCGTCGTACAACCGTCGGGACATTGCTCGAAACCCGAATTCCATGGACCCGGAGTTTCGATTTTATTTCGAAATACCTATCACCGTGTTATACATCCTGAAACGAGAGAACCACTCGCACACGACTATACCATAATAGATTAAGGTCGAATGAAATGAGATTCATTATCCCGACAAGGGTTGCGGGGCGAATTCATTTACGTGCAACAAAATTTGTGTTTGAGCTTGAAATGAACTCATCCTTGAAATTTTGGAAATTAAATCGTCCCGAACGTGCGGCCGAATGCGGGGACGTTTTAATTAAATTTTATGTCCTCGCATTGTGAATCGATTTTAGGAGATAATTAATTCTGCTGTATATTAAATAGCGTGCGTGACTGCTTCGTCGATATCAGAAAATATTAGATTGGCGCAGGTGAAATATTCTTTTTCAGGCAATATTCGAATGACACGTAACTACTTCCGAACGTTATACCTTTCATCGAAATAATAATTTCTACATAATTCTGTATGCGTTCCTCGACGATTAATTAAGCTCATTGTATCATCGATTAATGAAAATCAATAGTATTAGAATTTAAACATTCTTTATTTTCTATACGATCTATTATTTAATAAAATGTTTAATACAGTTCCTTATTCTAACTTTTTAAACTCTTTTACTGGATTAATTTCAAATTGTTCATTACTGATGGAAGATTACTCTTTTATTAACTCGTTACAAATCTGAATTATTTAATAAAGCAACGTAATTCTTATGTAAATACATGAACCAAATGATTTTAAAAAAGACCAAAAATGTTTCTAATGCTTTAAACATTTAATTTGCTTTCGTTAATATTCAATTCGTGAGATAGGGAGATTCTGCTTGAGGATGCTGTGCTCGAATTTTGTTAGAAGGCAGGCATCAATCTTGAACGAGCTGGAAACACTGCTTCGCACCGGGCTGAATGCGCTCGATCACGTGCACGACGCCATTATGATAATGCACCCGAAGAAATATGATAAACCGGGCGTGGCTCGGGTAACGATTATCATATTTCATCTGACACGGTTTTTAACGCATCGAATAATAACTGGTCGCGGATTGTATCGGCGGTTCTTGTCCGCGTTTCGCTTCTCGCGTCCCGAACGGATCGTTTGCTTGAAGAATGGCCTGCCTGCTAGCTTTTTCTCCGCGGAATAAATAGAATAAGTAACTCGAGTAAGTTTTTCTTCGCGTGAAATAAGTGGCTCAGTGTCACTAAAAATTCTTCTTAGTTTCCAGAAAACTGTACTTTCTGGAGAAGACAAATGAATTAACAAGGGAAAGCGTTTTACTATTTGGAAATTAATTATTTCTTTTTAATTATTTTATAAATATTGGTCAAGATTGAGAGGTTAATTTATGTTTTCTGGTAAAATATATCTCAATGTATTTAATTTCGATAAATAAACTCGATTTGTCATTACACGTGTATTACATTTATTGTTTACTCTACCGGTGAAATCATTTTTACCAAAATAGAATGTGTTCATTCGCTGCAATTCCAAAGTAATTTTTGACAACACG